TGTCCTACTCCTTCAGTTTTTCCAAAGCAACAATTGAACCTTATTGTCTTTTCTCTACTTTGAACTTCCCACTTGTAAATTTTTCTACGCTTACTCTTTCTCCAAACTTAGAAGATAAGGTGTCATCTTTGTGATCACTTCCTTTGAAACTTTATCAGAACTTTATCAGTTATCCCTGTTCCAGCATGTCAGTTTCCCAGTTTCTGTTGGGCCCGTGGCATTAGAAAGGGGAGAGGTGAAGGGAAAGCAAAAGCTTGTTCTTATATATCATGAGCAGCCATTACAAGTTTTTAAGCAAGGTGGTGACATTAACAGATTGATGATTCAGAATTTTCTTCTGTGAGCATCGTGGAAGATAGACTGGAGGAAGAACTTGGGATGCAAGAAGACTAGTTAGGAAGGAATTACTACAGTTATTTAGATTAAGGAAGATGATGTGGGCTGGGATTCATTTAAGCAGAAGACAGATAACAGAAATCAAGGATTTGTTGTTATAGTTTATGAAGAAAATGGAAGAATAAAAGATGACTTCAAAATTTTCCAACTAGAACAACTTGAATGGGTTTAATTTATTTGATCTTCCTAGTTCCAAAAGAATTGTATAAACAATTACTAAGGAGCTACTAAGAACTAACTAGTGAACTGTGTTAATGAAAAAAAAAAGAGTAATTCTTGAATTGTGGGTTCTCCTTCTAAACTTCCCATAAACTAAACAGTAGAACAGCAGTTCATTTTGCACAGTGCCAGTTTTGTATATTACTTTTCTGTCAAATTCTCCTGTGAAAGGGGCAGTGTTTTTTTTTAAGTATCATGAAGCAGAGATATATGATTCTTGGCAAGTATACTCTTGTTAATCATGAAGCTTAGGGAAGTTTTTCCTAATATTTGATAGTAGAGCTGCAATCTAAAGGATGAGTCCTCCATGTATAAAATAAATTGCAGGTGCAACAAATATTTAAACGCAAAAAGGTGAAACTTTAAAACTTTTCAGAGAAAATATGGAAGACTATCCAGAACCTTTGAGTAAGGAAGGATTTAAGGACAACATGCACAGCACTCACTTTAAAGGATAAGCATAATAAACTTAACTAACTTCTAATTAAGAACTTCTTTATTGAAAGACAACATAAAGGAAACAAAAAGACAAGCTTGAACTGGGAGAAAAAATATTTACAGTATTTATTCAGAATATACAAATAACACAAATTAATAAGGAGAAGACTAACAACCCAAGAAAAAAATACATGAACAGGCATCTCACAGAGGATAAAATGAAAATACACTCAGCCTTATTAATAATCAGGGAAGAGCGTCTTCCTGATTATGGGATATCTTTTTATACCCAGCATCAGATTAGTAACAATTTGAAAGTGACCGTACCGAGGGATGGTGAGAATGTGGAGGAACAGGAAACTTAGACACTGTTGATAGGAGGCTGTATTTGTTCAGTATTTTAAGAAAATTTGGCATAGTGCAATTGAAGATAACCATACTCTAAAATGCAGCTATCCTAGGTCTATATACTCTTAAGAAGTCCTTCTCAAATTTTGTCCTGGGTTCTTCATGTAGGTTCTGATTGACCAGGTCTATTATGGCTTGGCCTGATTACATTTTTATCAAGTGTTTGCATGAGGCCTTGTTAGCCCATAGACAACACTTCAAATCTGAAGGCCCCAGAGCACCACTTCCTGTTTGAGATAATTCACATTTACAGCAACTAGTGCTGTTTGTTTGGGATTCTAGGCTAAAGGGACTACTCTGTGTCCTAGCCAAAGAGCTTACTTTCTACAGGCTGTCCCAGGGCTAAGGGGATTCTGCATCCCTTGCTGTGTACCTGTACCCATTTGAGCTGTGGCACACACATTGAGAAGCTCTGCCCTGGAGAAACTTGCACATATGCACCAGGGGCATATATTTGAATACTCATGGCAGCACTGTTTGTGAAAATAAAAAATTGGCAACCCAAAGTCTACTTACAGTAGAATGGATAAATTGCATCCATCCAATGAACTGCTGAACAGCAGTGAAAATGATGAAATAGGGCTGTATTCATTTCCACAGATGAATCCCAGACGTGTCGTGTAGGAAGTCATGGAAGAATACACGCAGTATGTTATTGTTGTAAACTTAAAATACAAGTAAAAATAGCATTTAGAAATACTTCTATATGTAGTCAGCGATTTAAAAACCAAAAGAAGTAATAAACACAATTCAGGAGGGAGGCAAGGGAATGCCTTCTGTGAGGAATATGCTCAGCTTCAGCAGTATTGGACATATTTTCACCATTGGATGCTGAGTTCATGAGTATTTCTTCTATTATGCTTTGACATAGGTATATCTATGGTCATACACATATATGTATCATATAAACTCTCTTGTTTCAATTACTTTATCAAAGAGAAAAGTTCATTACATCAAAGGGGGAGTTGGTACGTTCACCCTTGATGGGGAGAACAGTAAATTCAAGGGATTGAAAAAAGACCAGTGAAGCTAGAGGAAAACCTTGGGCTAGGATGAGGATAGGGACTTCGAGGGACTTCGGGTTGTCCAGGACCTTACTGACAGTACTAAGAAGTTTTGAGGATCTGGTGTTTTGTCTGCACCATCAAGCACTGGCAGAATATTGAAGGGTTATAAGCAGAATGATGATGCTGTTTATCAGATTGGAGGTTGGCTGTAATGTTCTAGAACAGAGAGAGACCCTGTTCAGAACTAAACTACTTATCTTTTGCCTTTGTGTTTGGAACTGTTTTTGAAACAGTGTGGGAATAGTTTAAGGTGTAGGATAATGGCATTGTTCTCCGAAGAGGTTTTATGTTTCTTCTCGTTGCCTCCAGGTGCTACCAGCTTGTAGTCACATTAGTCCAAGTCCAAGACTCCAGATTTATTGGACTGTGTAGATGTTCTGAACCTAAGCTGCTGGTATTTGTAAGGATTAGTTTCCTCTTTTATCTTTATCCTGAGGTTATAACCCTTCAGGGTACCATCTTAAAAGTGGAGATATGGGGTGCCCTATCAGGTTCCCCATCCTAGGTGTGTCCTGGGCTGTGCCTTCTGTTTCCCATGCCCTTCAAGGTGACAGAAAACAGCAGATCAGGTTTGCAGCAGATACCTAGGGGGTGAAAGCAACTCTGAATGTTGAGCTTGTTTCTCAGAGTTTTCAATTTCTTATAGATATTGGCCCAGAAATTTATTAATATTGTGTTAGGTCTTTGATGATTTTAAGAAGATGCTTTTAAATACAGCTTTTAAAGTTATCATTAGTAAGAGGTTTGGTCCTACTTACCTAACCCATCATCACCACAGGCAGAAATAACCTCTGTATTTTAGACAGTGGCTTTTAATTTCCTATTATGAGCAGAGATAAAATTAGTATATTTATCTCCACTCCCCTTCCCTCTTCTCTAACACTCAATTTTAAGTGAGTATGTCTTACATAGTTTTTATACTGTTAAATATCCTTATCATTCTGTTACATTAACAGTTTTAATGACTTTGTCAACTATCTAATTCTGGTTTAAATAAAAAATGATGTATTGTTTCTCATGGTTCTATGGGTTGGTTGGCAGTTCCCCTGCCAGTTTTCCCTGGACTGACTCATATGACTTGACTGCACTGTGTTGAAAGATCCAAGGGCTTCACTCACATGTCTAGTAGTTACTGCAGACTGTTACATGGGGTACCCAAGTGTTTTTCCACTTGACTACACTAACTTCCTCTCATGATCATCTCAGGACAGCATTTCAGGAGCAGAAAGGCGGAAGCAGCAGGGCCTCTTGAGACTTGATGTCTGGGACTTGCACCGTTACTTCTGCCACATTTTGTTGATTAAAGCCAGTCACAAGGTTAGCACTGATTCAAGGGGTGGGAAAATAGATTCAGCTTCTTAATGAGAAGAACTGCAAATTGTTGTGACTGTCTTCCACAGTGATGTTTGTCCTTCCAAAAAATGATGATGTAATCAGCATGTTTAGACTATGATACACCTTCTTTCTCATTTCCCATGTTTATATCATTTGTACACTATAGGACATATAACACATTTTGTTCTATCACCATATTCCTACATTTGTTTTGGTCTTAGACCTAAGGTTTTTTTTATATATATATACACATGCACAAACACATAATACATTTATACACATACACATGTTTCTGTATATGTACATACACATACATGTATGTATATGTTCAGTACTATTTGCTACTTACTACTGTCTTTTGCCATAGATTCCCTCCCCAGCTTTATTGATATGTAATTGACATGTAATATTGTGTAAATTTAAGGTATACAATGTGATAATTAGATAAACATATATATTGCAAAATGATTACTATAGTAGAGTCAGTTAATATATCCATTACCTTAACATAATTTCATTCATTTGTGGAGTATAACAACAAAGCAAAACTGAAGGAACAAAACAGCAGCAGACTCACAGAATCCCAAAAGGGACAAGTGGTTGCCTTTGGGAAGGGTGGGTGGGGAGGGAAGGAAAAGGGGATTAAGGAGCATTATGATTAATATGCATAATATAGGCAGGTCACAGGGAAGACAGTACAGCACGGAGAAGAAGCGTAATGACTCTAGCATCTTACTATGCTGATGAACAGTGATTGCAGTGGGGTGGAGGGGACTTGATAATATTGGTGAATGTTGAAAGCAAAATGTTGTTCATGCAAAACCTTATTAAGATTGTATATCAATGATACTTTAATTAAAAAGAATTATTCATCACTGAAAAAAGGAAGCTTATGAAATGTTTCAGGAAAAATTGCCATTAAAAATTATTAAAACATTTGGTGAGTAACTGTTCACTTTTTTGGAAAATGTTTTATTTGGGCCACTATTTTCTGTGTATAGATATAGTAGATAAATATGGTGGTATTGGTGTTTTTATAAGAACCTCAAACTGTATGATGTTAATGTATTTCAAGCTTAATGTATTTTGACATATTTCAAGTTTGTTGCTATGGATAAAATTGTTTCTTGTCTTCAGTTGCAGAGTCTTTATCCTGTCCTGTTATACAAAATGTTCAGCCTCCCAAGTCCAGCGCAGTAGTATCCACTGTTTTGTCAGGAGCCTCATTGGCCAGAATGCCTCCTGCTGCAAATCAAGCCCCCATTCAGCCTGTGGCCTCAGGAACACAGCCGTCAGAGCTCCTACTGCAGAAAGGTATTTGAGAAATTCATTTTAGTGTATATGTAGCACACATATATATATGTACATAGATATGCCAATTCAGACAGCTGATTTTGAAAAGTCCAACTGTGTAATTATAATTTATAGAAAATGTGAAAATAATTTATAATCTTAAAGATGAATTTTTTTTACCTATGTTAACTTATATAGTCTCTGATTATATAACTTACATGATTAAAATTATAGTTTACATACCATTTTGTATTTTGCTTTTACATTTATTAAATTATATACAGTTCTTCATGTATCTACATAGTCTGCTCATTTCATGGCTAATAATTCATTGTATCAATGTAATTAATCTTTCTTTATTATGAAACATTTATTCCCTATTTTTTGCAGCTTATTGAAGTGTTTTTTTAGGATTAAAGCGCCCAGAATTTCCTTATTTAGTGAATGTCTATATCCTGTTTGATTATTTCTTTGCTTGTCATTATTGTTAATGGAAAGTAACTTTTGACCCTGTTTTGGGAACGAATGGGTGAAAATGAAATAGTAACCTATACTCTTGCAGTGTTGACAAACAATAATGGCTTGTTTGTTTAATGTTCTCTGTGTGTTAAATAAGTGACAGGTAACTAAAATGTGTTGTTTTGACCCTGTTTTCCCCACATTCCCTTTTGTTTTTTCAGTATTCTTGGTTATTTTCTGTCTAGCTAACATTCCAAATCTATTCATATTTTAGGTTAATATATTGTATTTTTCATTTGATGAGAGGTAATTGGTTTTAGGAATATATAGTCTGTATTTTCAGAGCAACCATTAGTAATATTTCAGGGACCATACTCACTATGTAATGATAGCTCCTGACCCTGAGTATAAAGAACTCTCTCTCTCATGTTCTAACACTCAGAAAAAACATAAATCCTAAGGCTGATCTCACTGCTTGTATCTATTGAGTGTTTATGTGGTACACAGAGGCTTCCTATATCATATGCTCAGACTTTATAAATTTTCTTGCTTGGTTTTTATGGAAAAACCAACTGCTGCAACAAGGGGTGTCCATTGATTCCCAACAAGCCAGTGGGTATATTGGGAATGAATCTAGTTGTTAGCATTTGCCTTCAAAGTGAGGGCTGGTAGGTAGGTTTTGCTTATCATGAGTAGAAAAAACTTAAAGGTAGCTAGGAGGCTTAACTAAATGAACAGTGTCTTTTCATATTTTTCCTTTACATTGATAGCTGCCTTTCATTACATATCTTGCTTGTTTTGACCCTTTATATTGCCCCTGCTAATTTCTTTCTTCCAATTATATTTTCTTTTCAGCCATTTTACTTTAAATACTATCCTGCCATCTTACTATAAGTAACGTTTTTGTAAACACTTTTCCACTAAGGAATCATAATTTTTTCCTTTTTTCCTAATAAGATAGATTTGAAAAGAGAAGTAGCTGTGATTATTGAACACTTACAATATGCCAGGTACTTTGTAGTTATTATCTAATCCCCATGTCAGTTCTATAAGGGAGACATTATCCCTGTTTTACAGACGAGAACAGTGAGATTCACAAAGATTAGATAACTTGCCCAAGATTATAAATTAGTAAGTAGCAGTGTGAAGGATTTTCAACTCAGAGCTTTCTATCTGGTGTTCTTTCTATGAAGAGAGGCTGATTTGTCGTTGTTATTGGCTGTTAAACTCTTGATTCTCCTCAGATACACTCCTTAAATAAGTAACAAAAAAGATACTACGGGAGATACTTGAACTGTAGGTTTTATTACTCCTTTTTCTTAACTAGGAGATTGGCCTTGTGGCAGCCTCTTTGCTTTTGGATAGATCTGTGGTACACAACTTGATTATTTGTGTGAGTTACAGCTACCATGTATGTTGTGTAAGCTGTAGTCTGTGTGGATGGTGCTTCTTGTAGCTGTGCAGTGTACGACCTGCTTAGGGTATGCTGTGGGTCTGATATGACTACTAAAATATTAATACATAAAAAAGATTAGTCTTTTTCTCCCAGCTTCCAAGATAATTATTCTCTCAAGGACTCAGCATTTTTTATTGGGTTTTAGAGAGGAGGCTTCAAATTTTTGCTTCTATATCTACTAAGAATTTTTTGAAAAAACTCTTAATTACCTGATCACTTTTTAGACTGACATCTAAAGTTTTGCACCAAAAGTTTAAGTAGTTGCAATTATGTAATTTTCTATATATTGCTTATGTTGACTTTTAAAACAAAGATGTTACGTTACTCTTTATATCCACTGGAGTGATACCTACTATCATCCTTTTAAAAAATACCCAAATGAGCATTTCTTTAACATTTAGAAAGTTTACAGTTTTCCTTTTTCTCTTAAATGTCATCCCTCTCCCCTGAATGTACTAATATAGTATATTCTTCTGTACTTTTCTGTCATAATCAAATAAATTGAAATTTTAAAATTTGTTTTACTGTCTGTGACCATAAGTGTCTAAGCAGTAAAATTTTTTCTTCTGGATTGAGCTATCAGTACATTTATTATTAGTATTTAAGTTGGTCAAAACAACATAAGCATCATGAATTTTTTTTTTATGGAAAGTACATTTTTATTGGAAATACATCTTTCAGTGAATTGAGTGGCTCCCCCCACATCCCACCATAGCTTTTGTACCTGAGTTGCAGTTGATTCATTATTAGAATAATACAATTGTTAGATAAATTTCATTCAGAGTTTTTATTTTCATACATACATTTCTGAGAAACTTTGTTCACATAATGTACATAGAAATGGTGTTGGAACAGTTTATTGAAGTTTTATTTGGGTATTTTAACCTTTATAACCTTTCAAGTTATAGGTCAGAAATTTTTATTGTAGTTTTAAAATTTTATTTTCCTGGTCATAGATAGTTGGTAACATTATTACTCCCTTCATGTAGTAGTTGACAACTTTAAAATACCTTTAACTTTTATTGTCACAGTTGAGCACCTTGTGATCACCATATTTCTTCTACCTTTTATAAATGAGAAAATTGAAGTTTAGAGAGGTTAACTGTCTTACCCAAAGGCATGCAAACTCCTTAGGAGGGGTGCCAAGTCCCAGCATAGATCTTCTGCTTCCAAACCTAGTGCTTGTTCTGCTGAATCAGCAATTGTTTAAAATATTGTGAATTTCATTATATCATTACTAATGCCATCTTATCACATCTAAAATTTATTTTTATCAAAAACTTCAAGCTGTTATGTAGGTCATTTATTTTATGGATGGTAACTCCATATAACCTAATTGGCAAAGTCAGTCCTTAATAACACAGAGACAAACTTTATTATTTGTCAGAAAGTCTAATTTTTTTCATCCAAGGATATGTGTTCCTATAGTTTCAAGGGGTATTGTAAATCCATTGAGAAATAAATTGCACCTTATATTTTCTAAGACAAATTACTAAAAGGAGTCAAATTTGTGTGAAAGATACATTTATCCTTTTTTATACTAGATTATAAAACCTAGGCAACGAGTTAGTATACTGTTTCTCATTGCCAATATGAAATGAAGTGGTTCAATATGTGCCCACTAATATTCTACTTAGGAAGCAAGAATTATCTTGAAAAGCATTATATTTCTTTGGCAAGTATATGCATTTTGTGTATCAAACTCTGTATTTGATTGTTTAAAAATATTTAAACAGACACTATGGGAGGAGCCAAGATGGCAGCATGAGTAGGGCAGTGGAAATCTCCTCCCAAAACCACATTTATTTTTGAAAATACAACATATACAACTATTCCTGAAAGAGAGACTAAAAGATACAGTACAACAGCCAGGCTACATCCACATCTGCGAGAACTCAGCGCCTCATGAAGGGGGTAAGATACCAGCCGCGGCCCAGCGGGACCCGAGCGCCCTTGACACCCCAGCTCCCCAGTGGGAGGAGAGGAGTCGGAGTGGGAAGGGAGTGGAAACCCAGGACTGCTAAATACCCAGCCCTAGTCATCCGCACTGGGAGCGCAGACACATTGCGTGGAGTGCTGGATTTTAGGGAAACAGTAAAACCTGTGAGCGGGTCCCTGCAGCCAGCACCCCTGGGACAAAAGAAAATCGAGTACTTTTTGAAAGTCTTAAAGGGACAGGGGCCTCACAGCTGGACGGAATCATCCCAGCACACTCAGCCCAGCAGCTGGGAATCCCGGGGAAATTCAGGGGCTCCAGCCCCTTGGGAGGCAGTGCAGCTATGAGGCCCCTCAGGCGATAAACAACCACCTGTCCATTCCCCCTCTGGCGCATCCCTGCCATAGCAGGGGAGCAGCATGAGAGAGGCCACACCCACAGTAACCACCCAGAGCCTCCTCTGCAGCTGCCTGAGCCAGACTCAGAGGCCCTGTTGGGGTGCAGCTGCCCAGCACAAGCCGCTGGGGGTTGCCGTTCTCACAGGAAAGGAAGGCAACCAACAAACAGGAAGGGACTTTGTTCTCCCAGCTGACACACGTGCCAACTGCTCATGACTACCTCTATCGCTATGAAAAGGCAGAAGAATTTGATAGTCAAAAATAATCCAGACAACCCCTGAGAGGGAAACTGGGGAGATAGATTTAACCAATCTTCCTGAAAAAGAATTCAAAATAAAGGTCATAACCATGCTGATGGAGCTGCAGAGAAATTTGCAAGACCTAACGAATAAAGTTCAGAGGGAGAATACAGAAATAAAACAATCTCTGGAAGGACTTAAGAGCAGACTGGATGAGGTACAAGAGGCCATTAATGTAATAGAAATAAGAGAACAGGAATGCAGAAAAGCTGATGCAGAGAGAGATAAAAGGATCTCCAGGAATGAAATAATATTAAGAGAACTGTGTGACCAATCCAGATGGAACAATATCCACACTATAGGGGTAGCAGAAGAAGAAGAGAGAGAAAAAGAAATAGAAAGTGTCTTTGAAGAACAGAATCCTCAGACTGTGTTTATAATAGCTCAATAAGCGAGTTAAATTAGACAGTTAGATAGTAAAAAAGTGAACCTTGAATGTTTGGTAACCACAAACTTAAAGCCTGCAATGGCAAAAAGTACATATCTTTCGATAATCACCCTAAATGTAAATGGACTGAATGCACTAATCAAAAGACTCAGAGTAATAGAATGGATAAAAAAGCAAAACCCATCTATATGCTGCCTACAAGAGACTCACCTCAAACCCAAAGACATACACAGACTAAAAGTCAAGGGATGGAAAAAGATATTTCATGCAAACAACAAGGAGGAAAAAAGCAGGTGTTGCAGTACTAGTATCAGACAAAATAGACTTCAAAACAAAGAAAGTAACGAGATAAAGAAGGACATTACATAATGATAAAGGGGTTAGTCCAACAAGAGGATATAACCATTATAAATTTATATGCACCCAATACAGGAGCACCAACATATGTGAAACAAATACTAAAGAATTAAAGGAGGAAATAGAATGCAATGCATTCATTTTGGGAGACTTCAACACACCACTCACTCCAAAGGACAGATCCACCAGACAGAAAATAAGTAAGGACACAGAGGCACTGAACAACACACTAGAACAGATGGACCTAACAGACATCTACAGAACTCTACACTGAAAAGCAGCAGGATACACATTCTTCTCAAGTGCACATGGAACATTTTCCAGAATAGACCACATACTAGGCCACAAAGAGCCTCAGTAAATTAAAAAAGATTGAAATTCTACCAACCAACTTTTCAGATGACAAATGTTTAAAACTAGAATTTAACTATACAAAGAAAACAAAAACGCTCACAAACACATGGAGGCTTACCAACATGCTCCTAAAAAATCAATGGATCAATGACCATATTAAAACAGAGATCAAGCAATATATGGAGACAAATGACAACAACAACAGAAAGCCCCAATATCCGTGGGATGCAGTGAAAGCAGTTCTAAGAGGAAAGTATATAGCAATCCAGGCATATTTAAAGAAGGAAGAACAATCCCAAATGAATAGTCTAAAGTCACAATTATTGAAATTGGAAAAGGAAGAACAAATGAGGCCCAAAGTAGGCAGAAGGAGGGACATAATAAAGATGAGAGAAGAAATAAATAAAATTGAGATGAATAAAACAATAGAAAAAAAATCAGTGAAACCAAGAGGTTCTTTGAGAAAATATACAAAATAGATAAACCCCTAACCAGACTTATTAAGAGAAATAGAGAATCTACAAACATCAACAGAATCAGAAATGAGAAACGATAAATCACAATGGACTCCACAGAAATATGAAGAATTATTAGAGAATACTATGAAAATCTATGTGCTAACAAACTGGATAACCAAGAAGAAATGGCAACTTCCTAGAAAAATACAATCTTCCAGTACTGACCGAGGAAGAAACAGAAAATCTAAACAGACCAATTACCAGCAATAAAATTGCATTGGTAATCAAAAAACTACCCAAGAACAAAACTCCCAAGCCAGAGGGATTCACTGCTGAATTTTATCAGACATACAGAGAAGACATAATATCCATTCTCCTTAAAGTTTTCGAAAAAATAGAAGAGGAGGGAATACTTTCAAACTCATTCTATGAAAGCAGCATCACTCTAATACCAAAACCAGGCAAAGACCCCATCAAAAAAGAAAATTACAGACCAATATCCCTGATGAACATAGATGTAAAAATACTCAACAAAATATTAGCAAACTGAATTCAAAGTACATCAGGAGGATCATACAGCATGATCAAGTGGGATTCATCTCAGGGATGCAAGGATGGTATAACATTCGAAAATCCATTAACATCATCCACCACATCAACAAAAAGAAGGACAAAAACCACATGATCATCTCCATAGATGCTGAAAAAGCATTCGACAAAATTCAGCGCCATATATGACATACCCACAGCCCACATCATACATAACAGCGAGCTGAAAGCTTTTCACCCAAGTTTGGGAACAAGACAGGAATGCCCATTCTCACCACTTTTATTCAACATAGTGCTGGAGGTCCTAGCCACAGCAAACAGACAAAACAAAGAAATACAAGGTATCCAGATTGGTAAAGAAGTTGTCAAACTGTCCCTGTTTGCAGATGACATTATATTGTACATAAAAAACCCTAAAGACTCCACTCCAAAACTACTAGAACTAATATCGGAATTCAGCAAAGTTGCAGGATACAAAATTAATACACAGAAATCTGTTGCTTTCCTGTACACTAACAATGAACTAGCAGAAAGAGAAATCAGGAAAACAATTCCATTCACAATTTCATCAAAAAGAATACAATTCCTAGGAATAAACCTAACCAAGGAAGTGAAAGATCCATAACCTGAAATCTACAAGACACTCTTGAGAGAAATTAAAGAGGGCACTAATAAATGGAAATTCATCCCATGGTCTTGGCTAGGAAGAATTAATATTGTCAAAATGGCCATCCTGCCTAAAGCAATCTACAGATTCAATGCAATCCCTATCAAAATACCAACAGCATTCTTCAAAGAAACTGGATCAAATAGTTCTAAAATTCATATGGAACCACAAGACACCCCGAATAGCCAAAGCAATCCTAAGAAGGAAGAATAAAGTGAGGGGCATCTCACTCCCCAACTTCAAGCTCTACTACAAAGCCACAATAATCAAGACGATTTGGTACTGGCACAAGAACAGAGCCACAGACCAGTGGAACAGAATAGAGTCTCCAGACATTAACCCAAACATATATGGTCAATTAATATACAATAAAGGAGCCATGGACATACAATGGGGAAATGACAGCCTCTTCCACAGCTAGTGTTGGCAAAACTGGACAGCTACAGGTAAGAGAATGAAACTGGATCATTGTCTAACCCTATACACAAAAGTAAATTCAAAATGGTTCAAAGACCTGAATGTAAGTCATGAAACCATAAAACTCTTACAAAAAAACATAGGCAAAAGTCTCTTGGACATAAACATGAGCGACTTCTTCATGAACATATCTCCCGGTCATAGGAAACAAAAGCAAAAATGAACAAGTGGACTATATCAAGCTGAAAAACTTCTGAACAGCAAAGGACATCATCAACAGAACAAAAAGGTGTCCTACAGTATGGGAGAAAATATTCATAAATGACAGATCTGATAAAGGGTTGACATTCAAAATATATAAAGAGCTCATGCACCCTCAACAAACAAAAAGCAAATAATCCAATTAAGAAATGGGCAGAGGACCTGAACAGACACTTCTCCAAAGAAGAAATTCAGATGGCAACAGGCCCATGAAAAGATGCTCCCCATCACTAATCATTAGAGAAATGCAAATTAAAACCACAATGAAATATCACCTCACACCAGTTAGGATGGCCACCATCCAAGAGACAAACAACAACAAATGTTGGCGAGGTTGTGGAGAAAGGGGAATCCTCCTCCACTGCTGGTGGGAATATAAATTAGTTCAACCATATGGAAAGCAATATGGAAGTTCCTCAAGAAGCTCAAAATAGACTTACCATTTGACCCAGGAATTGCACTTCTAGGAATTTACCCTAAGAATACTGCAGCCCAGTTTGAAAAAGACAGATGCACCCCTATGTTTATCACAGCAGTATTTACAATAGTGAAGTAGTGGAAGCAACCTAAGTGTCCAACAGTAGATGAATGGATAAGGAAGATGTGATACATATACAAAATGGAATATTATTCAGCCATAAGAAGAAAACAAGTCCTACCATTTGCAACAACATGGATGGAGCCAGAGGGTATTATGCTCAGGGAAATAAGCCAGGCAGAGAAAGGCAATTACCAAATGATTTCACTCATATGTGGAGTAAAAGAACAAAGAAAAAACTGAAGCAACAAAACAGCAGCAGAATCACAGAACCCAAGAATGGACTAATAGTCACCAAAGGGATAGAGTTTTGGGAGGATGGGTGGGAAAGGAGGGATAAGGGGTGGGAAAAGGAAGGGGGCATAACGATTAGCGTGTATAATGTGGGGGAGCACAGGGAGGGCTGTGCAACAGAGAGAAGAGAAGTAGTGATTCTACAGCATCTTACTACGCTGATGGAAAGTGACTGTAATGGGGTATGTGGGGGGGGGACTTGGTGGTGGGAGGAGTCTAGTAAACATAATGCCCCTCATGTAATTGTAGATCACTGATACCAAAATAAAAAAATATATATTTAAACAGAAATAAAGTTCAAAAACCAATTTCATCAGATGTAATAATAAAAATTATTCCCATGTATTTAATAAAAAAAAGAAAAACGTATACTGCTAAGTACTAATAGGTTCACTTGCTTGTAAATTTATTTTTGTTTAAAGGAGATATAAAGAACTAAATATTGTGTGAAATAGGTGAGAAACAATTATAAATATTTTATGATAAAATTGGTTATAAAATATTTCATTGAACATTTCATATTGACTGAAAGAAGTCATGTGTAATTTTTATCTGTGGGTTTTTCCCGGTGTCTCTTGAAAAAAACTGATAGTCCTAGAAAACATTCTACTTTTCTTTAAAAGGTTTAACATTACTAAGACTACTATTCAGGTTGATGGAAGGTTATTTTTTTCTAACCAATAACTTACCCTAGGGAGAAGTAATAAGAATAGCTGAAAATAATTGTTTTTAATTAAATATACACAAAAACATATTTTCAAAGTTCAATATAGTAATAGCTAATGCTTAAAAGTAGTATATTTCAGGCACCCTTCTAAGCTCTGAAATCTATTAATTTAATCCTCATACACAATAATTTGAGGTAGTTACCATCCCATTTTACATATGATATAAATGAAGAACAGAGAGTTTAGTAACTTGCCCAAGGGCAAAGAAATAGTAAGTGTTAGAACCTAGACTTGAACCTTGAGTTCCCATCTTTATCCACAGCATCCTGCTGCTTGTCTATTCAATGTTTCTTACTGTTTTTGCTTTGTTTTCATGGGACTCTGTCGAAAGGAGTGAGTTCTTTGACAGTAGTGGTTGGGGACTGCATAAATACAAACTTACTTTAAAAATTTGTCATTTCTACAGGCACAGTCGCAGGGGGGCCATCAGGTGAGAATTTGGGGATCAACAGAGGTGAGGCTCAGAACCTCACCCCCCCTGCTTTGAGAGAAATCTTCTGCATCCGTGGATGTTTTGCTGCCCTTGTCTAGCCTGGATTAATACTTAGTCCATAGGCACACACCTGATCATCTGATCATCTACATTTGCCCTCTTACAGCACTAAACTATGTTTTCTACCTTTATCATGCATCTACCTACCACTTCAGCATTTTATTAAAAATAAAAATAATAATAATAATAATAAAGGGAGAAATGTGGGATCCACATATAAATCAAGTACAAAAATCAAACGAATATTCATATTTGACCTGATTGTTTATAGGTCATAATGCGTGATCAAAACCGAAAGTTTCTGTGATGAATGCCCTTGTACTGTTCACCACGTAAGAATTTATTCACTATGTAAGAATTCGTTCACCATGTAAGAACTTGTTCGTTATGCTTCAGAAGATTGGAGACTGACGAGAATTAGACTTGAGATGGATTAATGATTGTACATTGAGCATTGACCCCCCTATACTGAATTTTATTGTTGTTAACAACCATTTGATCAATAAATATGAGAGATGCCCTCTCAAAAAAAAAAAAAAAATTTGCCATTTCTACCACTCTGCTTTTCAGTATTTCTGAATTAAGAATGTTTTGGTGAGAACCAGTCTTATTTCTGACATATTTCATCTTTAATTGAAACATGTATGGCAAAATAAAAGAAAGGCTGTAGATTTAGGGTAACTTCATCAATCATTCAGTAAGTAGGTGGCTTTCCTTTTAGTGCTAGACACATTGTTTTACATCAGGGCAACGTATATTAAGATTCAGGGTAAGTTAAGGATGTGTGTTTTCTTTGTAAATTGAGAGAAAAGCCGTTAACACGGCTACTTTCTTAGGTGGGTAAGTTTTAGAAAAGAGAGCATTATGGAAATTGATTCCCTTAAAACCATTCTCTTTTGTGGGAACGTTTGGAAAGTCTTTTAGTATATGTACCTAATTTAAAGACCGGATTAGAAAAGATAACAGTTGTTTAATGTCTGAACTTAAAAAAGCTGTCACCTACAAGGGATTTGTTCTCTTACGACTAGGTTTATTTATTCCCAATGTAGATGTTTCTAGAGAACAGTGAAGATGTCTTTTGTTAAGCAGTTCAAAGGATTTGATTTCCTGGAGACTTGCCTGATGGTACTTTAATGATAGGTAGTTTAAACTGAACATCCTTTTTAAAAATATGGGGCCCTGTTAATAACAGAGTGCTTCATTATGTCAGATTCTGTCTACAAAGTGTGTCTTGCCTCTTGGTTTATTAAATTCATACCTTGAAAGTACTGATTAAGACAGATTAAGTTAGGATGTAGCATTCCATTTATTGGTGTGGGGTGGTGTCGTTGGGGTGGGAGACACTCCATGTATGTACATTTCTACAGTGGGTTTCAAGCTGAGCTCTGGAATATGTTACATTCTACCAACTCATCTATGGAATCTGTGTATTCATACCTAGGTTCTGGCTCTTAAAAAGGGTCTGAGTAAAGGTACTCACGAAGTTCTCATAATCATTCACATATAGAGAAGATGACTTGGCTGTCAAACCCTTTTGGGCCATAACTTCCCATTTGTTGCAGTTTGTATTTACCTAACCTAGAACAGGGCATTTAAATATGGATTGATTGTTATTCCTGGACCCTTACTAATCCTCTTGAATTAATTAAAATGTTATTTTCTTGTGGCATTAACATTTCCAAGCTTTTACAAAGTTTACTTGAACAAGCAAAGGAAGGCTAAATTCTGAGCATATTGAGAGTCACAGTTGGGGAAGGGCTTAACACTCATCTCCAGCATTTCTCAAAAAAGGATTGTATTTTTTTTTTTTTCAGGCAAAATTTGAGTATGTTGAGTGACATTCTATTAATATAGTACATTGACAACCATAGTGTAATCTAAAATGGTACTGTAATAAGTAATATCACTGTGTTCTGTCTTACTCATAGGTTTCTTTCAGTGCGTTAATTAGTTGCTCTATAATTTTTTGAATCATTGTATAGTCATCTCATTTGCTTCCAATTGATCATTGGATATTTTTCCAATAAGTGAGTCTGTTTTTATTCATTAAATCTGGAGAGAGGGAAATATTTATAATACTTAATAGTTTCACCCTGTACTTTGGTCCTTTGATTAGTTACAGAGTCAGAAATCTGCATATTGAGTCAGTCATGAAAAGGATGGATTCTTTTCTGATTTTTTTTCCTGTATGTTGGCTTCTTAGCACAATAAGTGGAATTTCATTTCTTCTCTTTGTTTCTTCTTATTATATACATGCACATATATGTACTTTTTAAAGTGCAATGCTAATTGCATTTTGAGAAAGTACTTCATTTTTAAAGAACTCCTTAAATTGAAATTTTCTTTTCTATAAAATCTTTTTACTATCAATGTTTAATTGTAAACTTACTAGTATATTTAACTTAAGCTCTAATACTAGTCAAATTTTCATTTTAACTAGGCTTTTGTTAGAGGAACATGCCACTCTGAATTTGGTCTTTCAAGGTATCAAGTTTATTTCTTGTATTACCTGTACTTATTTTACATTGATTTTTACTTTCTAAGATGAATTTGTGATAAATGCTCTTTTACTTATATTTAAAAGATGTTTCAGCAAAGCTTGCAGATTTTTCCCTGATTTCTTTAGTCATAGTAGGAAGATCAAAGCTTCACTCATCTACAGTTTAACCTTTCCTCTCTTCTAAGCTCAAATTTTACTCTTTAATACCTTTTTTCTTACTATAAATATCAGTTGTGTCTATCCATGCTAATTCAAAAAGTTCCTTGAAAAAAAACAATGAAGAGAGCATGAGAGGACTACCGTTTGATTTTGGTGAGGCAAGGCTTCATTGTGCCTCCAGTATTGTGAAATGTTCCTGGAAATCCACACTGTGTTTCTGGGTTTTTCTTTCTTTCTCTTGTTTTTTTTTTTTCAAGTTGAGCCCTAAAATTTTCTTATAGGGATGTTTATTCTTAGTGTTTTCATTTTTAATTAAGATTATTTTATTTTCCCTCTTAAAAATATTGTGGTTTTTTTTAAGCATTGATTTTACCAGATTAATTAAATAATAAAAATGCTCAGTCAACTTTTTTCTTAAAGGAAATATTATACAGTTACCAGTTGTGCCTTTTCCACAGAATCTGCCTTCTCTTGGTGTATCTCATACAGAGGACCAGTCTCACTCACCTACTTTAGACTCATGTAGACAATAGGCTGAAGCCGAGATGATGTGCCATCTCAGAAAATTCACTTTTCTGTGATTGTTATGGTGATAGGGCTACAGTTAATAAGTTTTTTTTTTCCTGTAACATCTGCTGTAAGCAGAGAACAATGCTGAATATAATTCTTTTAACTGTCATTCTTTTTCCAATATGAGAACTGAGTTACCATCAAGGCCTTAGCAGAAGGAAAGTACTAAGTGTTTATATGTGTGTTTTCTACTGTATAAATTCACTTCAGTAGAAATGATCACTGCTCACCAAGAATGCACAGTCCCAAAGGAAGTATACCACAACGGCCCTAAGGTCAAAGGAGGTAAACATGTATAGAGCTCAGAAAAATTTTCAGAGAATATCATTATAATTTCCTTAATGTTCATAATCAGTATAATACATGGTATTTTTTTCACACTTAAACTAGTTCATATTAAAGCTGCTTTTACTAAACTGCTTTGCAGAGATTTTCTAATATTTGATAATAAATTTGCTAATATTAATAATGCATGCTGGGATGTTCTTTGGAATATCAGAGTTCTTTCTCACTTTTAATGCAATGTCAAAATTTATTTCTCATCTTTCCTGTTGGTTTGACTCTTATGTTTGTGCTTTCCACTTTACAGGCATGCAGTATGGTGAATATGTTAATAATCAAGCTAGCTCCGCACCAACTCCCTTGTCATCAACTTCCGATGATGAGGAAGAGGAGGAGGAGGATGAGGAAGCAGGTCTGCTTTAGCTTTACACCAGTTCTTGATCTTTTCCTACTCAAGTTTTCAATATGTGTCCACAATCTTACTTACGAGCCTTTACAAAAAGTGTCTTTGCAGATTTAGCTGAATGAACTTGTCTGGTTTGGGTTACAGAAGGTTGGTTCACTTGATATGAGGTGTTGTGCTTGTCTGTTTTGTTTTTCCTTTTCTAAACATCTTTACCGTTTTGTAAGTAACACTGTGTCTTTGATGATGATAGAATACGTTCTTTCAGAAATGCATTTCTTATGTCACATGCGAAAGAATAAGCCCTGACCGAAGCTTTTGGCTGATGATTACTCTAGCACCCTTTTAGGAGTAATGTTTTATTTTCCTGCTTTGCATGTTACTTTAGTCTAATAAAGTGAACCATGTGGATTTTGTAATAGTGGTAGAGAAATAGGACGATGTTTCTTTCAGGTCTTTTTGGCCCTTGTTGTTACATATTTAGAAGGCCCGAAATTTGTAGTTATTTTCCTGCTTCATGAAGTAATAGTTCACATCTTGCTAGTTGAAGAAGTTGTGCATATGATCATGTATTGCAGTCTGTTTGATATCTTTTTCTGCCTTTGAACTGCTGAACATTAAGTTCCTCCACTAATTCTACTAGTTTAAGACAACCAGTAAGAAGTGATGATCTTTCACGTTATATGTGACCATGGTTCTCCTTCTGTTATCTTTTTTATTGAGTGGAAGGATTTGCTCTATAAACAATCTGTTTAACTAAAAGTTTCTGTTTCCTGTGCATTTCTAAAATACTCAAATCCTTATGCATGATTTCTGAGAGGGTTAAAGGGCTCTAGATGGTTAATTTTTCATACTTAAAAAATGTAAAATACCCATCCTATCTTCCTGAATTTTTTGTAATTATTTTATATAATTTCAATCTTATAGAAAAGTTGTAAGAAGAGTACAAGAAACTCCTATGTTCACTTTATCCAGGTAAACCACTTTGCCCTGCTTCCTTTATAATTCTCTATGTATGTATTTTTTTTTCATACATCATTTAAAATAAATTGGAGATAGCCTGAACATTTACCCCAAATACTTCAGTAAGTATTTCCTGATTATAAGGATGATCTCTTACATAGTATAAACACAGTACAGTTACCAGGAGATTGAACACTGATGCAATAATATTTACTACACAATCCATAGTCAAATCTCAATAGTTGTCTCAATAAGATCTTTTATAGTTGTTTTTATGGTCTAGGATCCAGTCCAGAGTCATGCATTGAAATCAGTCATCATTTCTATTAGACTCCTTCAGTATCCTTCAGTCCCTTAACCTGTCTTTCTCTTTCTTGACTTTGACATTTTTGAAAAATACAGTCCAGTTATTTTGTAGTATGTCCCTCTGGGTTTGTCCCTATGGTTTATCTGATATATCCTTGTGATCAGATTCAAATCATGCATTTTTGGTAAGACTACCACTGAAGTAATGTGTGCTCAGTGCATCCTGTTTGACGCACATGATGTTCATTTGTTCCTGTACTGACGAAATGAAAACTGATGACTTGATTAGATGGTGTCTGCCATGTATCTATGCTGTAAAGTTACTACTTTTCCCCTTAAAATTAGTAATTTATGGGGAGATTTTTTGATACTGTGTAAGTATCCTGTTCTTTATTAAACTGTTACTCATTAGTTTTATTTAGCATTTATTGATGATTTTCTAATTCCAGCATTCCTTCTATAAGTTGATGTTTCATTGTAAAGAAGAGCTTTTCCTTCTCCTGTGTTGATTTCTTTAGGTTCATATTGACTCATGGGTTCTTATTTTATTCAGTGGATAATAATCCATTGCTCTCATTAGTTATTTTGATAGAAACTTGTACTACTTGGCCATTGGTAATTCCTTCAAACTATGTTTTTAAAATATTCCCATGGATCTTTAAATATTTTAAGTACCTTGAGTCCTCAGTAAGCTGTTCCTAGCTCATCTTGTATCTGTACTGCTGCAACCCTGGACTGAGCCATTTCTTCAAGGAGTCCTGGTTCCTTTAATGGAGAAGAGTATTTTAGAAACCAAGATCTGATTGTAATGTGATTATAATGCTACTGATGGGCCATTGTTCCCAGGCCCTCAATTATTATTATTATTTAATGTGTATATTATTCTGATCCTTAGATACATCTACTTTTTTTATCTCATGATCCTTATTTTATACATTTCAAGAATGTGTTACTGTGTATAATGTTACCTGTCAGCCTAAACTGCTTTTATTTTTGTTCTGCTTGCAGTTAGTGTAGTTCTATTCAGTCTTATTTCCTTAGACTGAAAAAAAAATTGGGAAATCAGAAAGATGTAGTGTTACTGACTTTTCTCCTGTTGGGTTATCTGGTTAACTGACTACGTTTTTTTAAAATATATTACAGATTAAAAATTTCTGAGTTCTTTAGTCATGGCATTTAGATATTAAAATACCTGACCATTTTGAGGACTTACTGTGTGGCAGTATCTCTGCTATAGATACTGGCTGAAGAACTAACATGTCTCCCTGGATTTTTGTGCCAGTGTTTTTAGATTCAAACCCTGACTTTGTCACTTACTAACTTTGTGACCTTAGACAAGTTTCTTAAACTCTTTGAGTCACAATTTGCTCATTTGTAAAATGGGAATAATAATAATAATTATATATGGTGGTTTTGAGGATTGAAGATATTCTTTGTAAAAAGCTTAGAACAGTATCTAGCAAATAGTAAACACTCAAAAAGATTAGCTGTTATTACTAACATTGAGACTGTGCTCTTATCTCAGTGTTAACTCAGTAATCCTGTGAAGATAATTGGCTTGATTTTTACAAATTGTGAATAAGTTAACTAACATTTGTCTGTGGCTACACAACTACTAAGTAGGAGAGTGGGGATTCAAACTGAGGTCTTTGCAGAAAGTTATGAAAAGGAAGTCTCCATCTCCTAATGAAAACAGCACTGCAGTAGAAGGGAACCAAAGGGTGTGTGGCAATAGGCACTAAAGTATTACTTAGATGAAATCTTCCTCCTGTGTCTTTCTTACTGTGCAGCAGAATAATAAGAATATTCTGTGGACATTTTTACTAGAATCCTGGTGTTCTTAGTTTGTTAAAAAAATAATGATGTCTTTGATTGTAAAGTAAAGGAATTTTCTGAGTGAGGGAGAAGAAAAAACTGGGAAAGAAAAGAATTTTATTTAGTTTTGCTTTTTAAAATGTGCTCAGTTACAGTAGTTTTCTCATATGTAAAGAGGTAAAAGAAAGGGGCCCAAATTGTGAGGATTGCATGTAAGTATCTTCTATAAAGTAGAGATTTGCAGTGTTCTACTTTTTAAGCATTCCAGTGGTATTCATTCCGTATGTTCATAAGATTTTAGTGTGTTAAGTTTATATGGAACTGTTTTCTAATTTCAAATAATGAAATATCAGCTAATAGGTTTGTAAATCAGTAATATTCCTCTTTATACTTAAAGTAACTTACCTACCTGTTCTAGCTCTTCATTTATTTAAAGTATCATTGATACACAATCTTAATGAAGGTTTCACATGAACAACATTGTGGTTTCAACATTCACCCATATTATCAAGTCCTTGCCCCCCCATTGCAGTCACTGTCCATTAGTGTAGTAAGATGCTATAGTATAGAGTCAATACTTGTATTTTCCATTCTATACCACCTTCTCTGTGACCTGCCTATATTGTGAGTGCTAATTATAGTGCCCCTTTATCTCCTTCTCCCTCCCTCCCCACCCACTGTCCCCAGCCCCTTCCCTTTGGTAACTGCTAGTCCCTTCTTGGAGTCTGTGAGTCTGCTACTAGTTTATTCCTTCAGTTTTGTTTTGTTTTGTTTTAAAGTATCATTGATACACCATCTTATGAAGGTTTCACATGAACAGCATTGTGGTTTCAACATTCACCCATATTATCAGGTCCTCACCACCACCCCCATATTACAGTCACTGTCTAGATCTTCATTTATTAAAGCCTATGGTTTCCTTGGTGGCATCTCTATCCAACAGTCAAACACAGGAATACCTATTTCAAACTTTCAGAAAGTTTTAAAAGAAAACTATTTGATTTCAGTTCCAATTTTATGTTAAACTATCTATGTTTTTTTAAATTACATGCTACATATATAGGCTTTCCTTTTTAAAAGTCCTCATTAAATGTATACTTGGAGACTGAAATAGGATTTTGTGCGAGGGGCAGTATTATATTTTGTTGGAAGCATCTCAAAGTTCAGAATTGTTAGATAAAAACCTTAAAGAAAACATGAGCAAATAGCAAGCAATCAGGTCCTCTCCTGGTTATACCTTCAATTATTCTCCCTACGTGTATTCAGTCACAAATACTCACTTCTTCAGTTAGTGCTGGAGTGGACATTTCATTAGTTTTAAAAACAGTACTGCACACAAGTACTGTCATCGTTGTATGAGTAAGGACTACTGACTTGAAAATGGGAGTAAAAGTGAATAAGCAGTGAAATAAAAATTGATGTGTGAAATAAAGTGAAAGGGGAAAAAAGAAAAGAACGATTCTGACTGCAGGCTGCCATCAGCCCCAGGCCCTGGAAGACACTGTCCGCTAGTGTTCTCTCCGTGTTACACATATACCCAGTCTCCTCTCCTCCAGGGAATTTTCACATTGGGAAGAGGCCAGAGGACAACAGGAAGCTTTCTCCCATGGCTTTGGTAATGTGATAGCTTAATACTATATTTTGTAAGTCTTGTTGGGAAAAAACTTGAGTTCTTCATAATGAGTTTTAAGGTGCTAGTCAGTTCATGTTTGACTTTCATACAGGCATTGCATCAGAAATAGTGATATGTTTATGGTTTGCTTGAGTATTTTAAAAGGTAACGTATTTTGACACAGAAAACAAGTTAAGTCAACTCCTGTAGATAACAAGACAGTACTGGCCACTTAGCTCTAACTCCCAAAAAGAATTCTCTTTTTAAATTAAAAGTATTAAGTATAATTATTAACAGTATTTTTAACTATAAT